AAAATCGTCCACGTACAAGATAGCACGCATGAACGATCGTGTAGTTGTTATAGTGACACACTACGTACCACGAGGCCAGAGATGTCATCAACTATTTGTCACCTGTCTAACATTAAAATGGGACCTCTGGGGGAAAATTGTTTAAGCTACTTCGGAGGTAACATTTGCAATGGTACCATTGTTTTCATATAAGTTTCATAATTTTTCAAAAACACTTCCTCAAGCTATAGTGTAATAGGTTTAGGTTTATTTATTGAACCACAGTGTACAAAATGAATGTGTAGCAACTTACAACAAAATAAACAAATACATATAGGGATAATAAAATCATATATAAAAAAAGTACGAAACATACGAAACAATTTTGTAAAATTTGAAATTTAGGTGCTCATAAGTAAAAACAGTTTATTGTGAGTAGATTCTTGACAGCTCTCTTAAAAGAATTCTTAGCAAGGCGTTTTATATTAAAAGGAAATTTATTATAAAAGTTCAGGTTTAAAGAAGAGTCTCGATTATATAAAATTAGATGGTAAAGTCATAATATGAATGCTGAGAAAATGTGTTCTACAGGATTCTCTATAGTCCAAACCAAGAAGAATTCGGAGAGCTTTTTTTAAGACGAAATACTCTGACTTCATAACTAGACCCACCCCATATTGTGACCCCATATTACGTTCTAGAGTGAACTAAAGCGAAATACACACTTCTTAAAACTTGAGTATTAAAAAATTGCTTTCGCAACATAAACAGAACGGATGACAATGATTTACAGAGGGAGCCAATACGAATAGACCAATTCAGCAGAGTGACGCTCGTGCCTTTCATAATATTAGAATTTGAGAAAACAAAAAGATTTTGCGTTTTATTTCGGTTCAAAAGCAAGTCATTTTACTATTTAGTTCGTCATCTGCAAATAGTGTACAATTGACTTGACAGGCAAAATCATTTATATAAATGAGAAAAAGGAGCGGACCCAAAACCGATCCTTGGAGGACCCAGTGACGCGATCAGTAAAATACGATTCGAAAAAAGGTATGACAGACTCTGACAAACCGATAGAAGACAACTTTTGCTTTTGATTGACAAAGTCGATGGACTTTGATATATCAAAAAGAGAGAAAACCTTCTGGATTCCTTCTGTGTCGCTGAGTTTAACGATGTAACCTACATTTTTAGCAAACCATACACCACAAAGACTGATAGCAGAGTTACAAATAATCCTTTATTGTAGAATCAGCTATTCGAAGGTTCCAATATACATGAAAACATTATGAAACACGTCCAAATTTACTGTGGCAGCGCCACCGTCGGAGAATAAATTCGTAATTCGCACAAAATGTTAAGAAAAATGCGCATAAAAGTGCATTCCAATCGGACGGCCATTCAATACAGAAATATTTGTACATTTTAATGGTTCAAGTTAAAATACTAAATCCGTTTACATAAATTAACGGATACCAGTCTCTGTTGTATTGGGACACGGTAGTGACATAAATCATGTCATAGGTGGGTGGACAAGTAGGCCAGAGTTCAAAACAATCACAACATATTATTTCTGATAGTCATCGAACAATATCTGTTGGCGCTTTGGTACTTTCGAATGGCGCTATATTAAATCTGTACTCTGATATTATGATCTAATTGCTCCGTGTGATATATTCCATTAACGATATTTATCTTCGGTCATGGGTACTGACTCTCACGTAATGTATCTTGTTGTTTTTTAATTGAGAAATTTACTTTTTAATGTTCTTAAGAGCAGTTTGGAGGTAAATTTTCACTATATAAACATCTTTGACGTTGTTACAATCAATTAAAACTTTAGAAAAGTATGATCAAGTATGTAAAAAATAAATGTAAATTGAAATGAAAATTTCACACATTGCTATACACTTTTCTATTTTTACTTCAAATAAGGTAACGAAACAGTTTTTTAAAAATATACACTTCATTAATAACTCTGATGTACCACAACACATTTGAAAGTTTATTTTTTATTTATGACTGTGTAGTTAGGAGAAAACTTGTGCTTGTACATTCAAAAAGGAAGAAGTATTAAAGTATTTTTTTAGATAATGTTTTTTAAATTAATTCCAATATCTTATCTCCGATTTGTTTGAAATTGTTACTGTTGTTTCTAGTGATGAGTGATTTTGCCCTGCCTAAAAAAAATTAATCAGACTCGTTAAGGGGGCTGCCAACTTTACAAAATTTATTGATACAAGTGTACGCCACTAATTTTAATGTGTTACCGATACTTTCTTGAGATAGAGCGACTCAAACTATTACTTTTCGTCTCTCGAATTTTTGTCATATTCGGCTTCGTTTAAGAGATGAAAAATAAAAACTATTTTGTTACATCTGCATTTACGATAAAAATATTTTTCAACATTCCAAAAATATTTGAGAACAATTCGACAAAAAACTAACCAAAACTAGCATTTATCATACAAAATTTACAAAAACTGTTGAAAGTGATCATTCATTCAATCATTTCGCCATGGACGGCCCAAGTTTTATTTAGTTAGTGCCAAATTAGTCCCTTATAACTAGAAACAACGCTGCTAAATTTCAAACAAATCCGTCAGAACATATTTGAATTCATTAAAAAAAACTTTTAACTCAACAAACGTGCATTGTTTGTGAAAACAGTGCGTTGTATAATATTTTCATTTATTTACTGCGTTCAGTAGTAAAAATTTGTCGACAAATTTAGTTATTTTTCAGACTCTAAAGACAACTGTTGTATGAACCCCATTTTTAGTTTTTAAATGCGCCAATATGAGGATATTTTTGAAGCTTTGCATTTATTAACTAACGTAAGCATGACGTAAGTATGGAGCAAATGATTCAGTAATTAAAAACAGTCTATATTTTTTCAACCCTAAGACACCGTTTAGTAGTAAAGTTTTGTCAACAAATTTAGTTATTATTCAGACCCTAAAGACAGCTGTGTGATGACCGCCATTTTTAGTTTTTGAATGCGCCAATTTGATGCCATTCTTGAAGCTTTGCATTTGTTAACAAAGGTAATCATGAAGTAAGTATGGAGTGAACTCTAGTAGTACAATATGATTTAGTAACTAAAAACAGTCTTTATTTATTCAGCCCTCAGGCGTCAAGTTATATTTTCGTCGTCGTTCAAAGTTCAACTCGAACCACACTGAGGTCTATAAAGATGTTTGTGGACTATCAAAAATCGTGCGTGTATTCCTACATCGAGTCAATACTTGACAAAAGTGTGATACAAACCACAACGGTGGAAAAGGGCTCAAAATACGAAGCTACGAAGAACAAAAAGGTCCTCCATCTTTAGAAACTCGCACATGCAAAGTAAAAGTGCGGTTAATGATTTTTGCTCATCTGACCGTGAACACTGCGTTACGTAGGATTAATCCTGAAACACAATCTCGCAGTGAAATATTTTTGCCCGCATGCGTTTTAATCGAAATTAAATTTTTGCAACTTTTACTGTTTCAGTGAAAGTGTAGACGCTTCCAATTATTGCTGTTATTATTATTATTGCGGGTTTACGTGTGTACATTCGAATCATTTGGATTGTTACAGAAATTATTAACTCTTTTTTGTATGCGTTAATTGGATTGGTAGAAACGATTGTAAGAGGGGCGGTGCTTTTTATTTTACACTCTAATTGTCTGTCTGTTGTAATTATTACCGCCAGCAATCTTTTGGGACATTCTATGGGTAATTGCGTAGCATCCATGCAAAATATCTAAACCAGACATAAAATCGCAAAGAATCCGAAATTCGTACACAGAAATATACACTGCACCTCAGAAAGTTCTCAAACCAGAAAGGTACGAACTAAGGAGCGTGAAAGTTTAATATTTTTAGTTTTTATTTAATCTGTCAAAATATGACCCTTTACAATTTACAACGATAAAGTCATATCGGTGTAGTCAAATCAGAGTAGTGTATCTCAAAAATTTGGGCTTTTTATATCCTCTCCATCCCTGGGTATTAGTTGTCATTACTAAAAGCTTTATGGGTGTAAATAATAGTCAAGAACTTCAGACTATGGGGATATTTCTTCTGACTGAACTGTCTTTTTTGATATCACTATTAAGGGCTCCACCGTTTAATCAAATTCCGAATTTTTTCTTCCTTCTTGATGAAATGACGGTCAATTTTTCGCAAGTTTTCTGGGACCACTTCCAACAGAAACTTTCCATCGTTCACTTTAAATGTCGTTTTTCTAATTTTTTCGGCGGTTTTTGCTGGTTTTCTTGGAATTTTTTGGGATTTTTCACATGACATTTTGCAATTCCAGTCCACTTAAAAATCCGATTTGATTTGTTTTCTCACTTACTGGAGCCCCAAAAATATATTTATGCACAAATTGTTATTTGTTTCAACTGTGTCAACGACTTAACATATGAGTTATTATTGTTATTGATGTAAATAATGACCAATGAATCGTTTTAATATTACTAAATAATCATAATTAAAATTCTATAGTAAAAACGGCTTGGGTTCATATATATCTTCATTATTATCAATGGAACAATCAAAATTTCCTTCGTCACGACTTGTAATTCGTTTTCTATTGCGCCGTTATTACCATATCAACTGAATAAATATGTCGGTGATAATTCCTCTCAATTTGTCACATTCGGAAAAGCCGCGTGACCCAGTCATGCCAGTTTTAAAATTTTTAGGATTAAGTAATGTTATTTATGAAGGAAATTGCGCGAATTATTTACAGATTATAATAAATGGGAGTTGTTTGTATGAGCATATCGATAACCGTTCGAATATTTCGCTTGAGTGGCTCCCAGAAATTGTTGCGCATGAAATTTGCAATTTAATGGCCAGCCAATTGTGAAAAACACGCTCAATGATTGTTCAATCAATTTGCCAAACAAATTCACATATGGGATCAAATAATTTGATACTGATATACATTTACCTGGTGTATTACTAACAATCGTACTTTCAAAAGTCATTATTGTCGTTTCAAGGCGATTTTTATATTTCAGACGATAGTGACCTTATGTCTGGCCTGCCTAGCAGCTGTGGCTAAAGCTCAGTTCGGAAGGTTTGGCTTCAGTTCGTTCGGAGGTTTCGGTTTGGATTCGCCACTAGCGGCAATCAGAGACCCGAGGCAGAATACAGGACCCGTGGTTTTCCCCCCGGCACCGCCAGACAATGGTGAGACCAGCGGGGTGGTAGTGGGTGCCTCAGGATATGGTTTTGTACCACCAAACAGTCCAAGTAAGTGATGGATCGACCCTTTTTAATGTCATCAGTTGATATTGACTGATGATTACTGAAAACCCGTCACTGATATCTTTAACTATGGAAGTTGATATTCGCTTTTTCGTATCCATTCCAACGTGAGTCGTAATAATACATTTTGCTGGATGATTTCACCACGTTTCATTCGTTTATAACAAGACATGTACCTATCCATGTATCCAATATTAACAAAAAAAATCATAATTACTAAAAAGTTGAGGACCTCTACGACTGGTTGGTAATTCTACGAGAATAAAATGATCTCTGCAATGATAAAGTCTGGATAAATATTAAACGCTCGGTCTCTTCGTAATTATTGCTAGCAGTTGATGAAAATAATTTTGTTAGTTGTTACAATAGCGGTAAGTCTGTTGTCTTCTAACAGGTCAGCGACCAGTTTTACTTTTGTAGTATTATCGCCTCTCTTTTGTCCGTTGATGCGCGAAATATCATGGTGGAGACATGGTCAGAACAGTTTTGGCTAGTGATTCTTGGTACTTGAGTATTTGTCTGATTTGATTCCCCTAGGAAGTTGAAGAGTGTTTCCCTTGGCCGTTCTCAATTTATTTTACCTTTTACGTTCCCTTTTCCCTGCTATTGATATGTGTCCAAAATTATCGTTGACTAATTTCAGTTGAAAGTCTATACGGTCATGGTTACCTCTGCCATATAATTGGAATTAGAATATTGGCAGCATTTTTGTATGGATCTACACTTCCTAGGCAAGTTACTAGTCATGATGTTCTTTTAACTGCTCCAACACCACCAATCACTTTGCTGTTGGGAGCGTTTTGCTCCACTTTCATTTCAGGTTTCTGCAATTTTTTGTTGTATTCATACATATTTACGCCATATATCACACATATATAACATTTCTTCTTCATTTTGTGGGCAGGTTATTAGTAATAATGAATCCGAAGTGACCTTTTAACTGTTCCAAGATCACCAATCACTTTGCTGTTCATAGAGTTTTGTTTTATTTCCAGGCTTCTGCAATTGTATTATGTATTTTAACATATTTCCACCATCACCTTCATGTTAATACACTTTTTCTTTTTAACGGTTCATGCCAGGATTGCACATAAGCATTCAAAAAAACAAGTAAACATCTATTAAATAATATAGGAAACGCTTTCCCGCCTGTTTCAACGTAGCCATGTCTTACAATTCTACCAACTTAACATTTCTTCTTCATTTTGTTTCAATGCAAATGCCAATAATCTAATTAATCTAGGGATTTAGGCTCTTGTCTTGATATAAAACTTAGTTAATGTCGTTGTATCCGAACAAGATTGTCGAATAACATCGAACATGGATAAACCAAATAAATCATTGAGAAACCTACTGAGACCGCTCGGGTCCATATTCCCAATTAATCAGACCAAAAACAAAGCAACACCGCAATCGGAAGTGTTAAAATTTATCTTGACACAGTTTCGCCGCATTCAAATGGGCAAAGTCTCATTGTACGGGGGCGGTCACTCCGAAATCCGATAATCAACAAAGGCGGCGTGGTTTGTCCTGAACTTTGGGCCTGATTCAATTCTCAAGTCGGCCGTGGCTGATTAACCGCACGAAGATCTAAACAAAGGAAGCCGAGCAATGCCACCCTCAACTATTCCGAACTTGTCAAATTAAATTCGTGCCTACTCCAAGGCGATGGCTTTCCGATACGAGGGGTATCTAATCGTACAAACGCCGAGGGCTAAGGGGTGCTTTTTTATTCATTCATCTCGTGCGACCATACGCCATTCGTCATTCGGATTAACAAGTTCATGCCCGCCGAGGAGACATCCCATTCATCACAGATCATCGGTATTGGTGCGTTCGGATGTTTCATGAACGATTTTTAATGAATTTTTTCGGATGTCGTTTCAGATTCGCGGCCCCTAAGACGTAGATAATTAGTTGATACGAAATCAAGGTATGTACCCCAATTTGGATTTAAATCGCGTAGGAATTCCATTCTTAATTCTTCGTCGGGAATGAAGCAGTCATGATCTTGCTTTATTACAATCAGTAATTTAAGATTCTCATTTCAGTTAATAAGAAAAACTATCAGAGGTTTAAAGACAAGGAATTTCTTATCCAGGTTTCGAAAAATTGACGAAATAACAGATATTCAGTTACTGAGTCAAGATTTTATTAATTAACGTGTAGAATGTAAAGCAATAATCCTTTAGGTAATAGAAGTTAAATTAATGAGTCGCCATTACTAAAAAACTAAATAAATACTATCGTTGAGGAGATGAGCAACGTACGAAAGTTAATTTTTCTAACCTCACTTTCTCTAACAGTACTGCTCCAGCTAATTTCACTTCCTCTAGCAGTAAGATAGATTCTTTATGTGACGGTTTTACAATACAACAAAATGTATATGATTAGGTAAAATTTACGATAAAGGAGTATAAAAACGTAATACATAACAAATAAAAATATATAGGAATCAAAACTAAATTATAAAAATAGAAAAAAATAGAGAAATAGAACACAATCAAATAGTGGTCACTCTCAAGAATCAGATAACACCTTTTTTGCCATACATTTGTTTTTTTTTTTATTATTTAAATTTCAAATTACGTATCTAATTGGAAATTAGTTTATATAAGATTTTGCCAATACATTTTTGCACGGTTTTTGTTTATTTTTAGCAAATTTGAGGAGGAAGTGGGATATCCTTGATTATCTGAGTGGAGCGGTAACAGACTTTATGGAAGAAGCGCTTTACTAAAAACAGAATATTCCTTCCTCCTTCCAGGAGATTCTATCCTCGAGAACTACACCAAAACCTTTATATGTGTTGATTCTAACTATCAACCACTGATTGGCAACTTCTTGTGCCAACTGCGTTTCCCCTTTAACAGTCTCCATATTCGGGTTTGATGTTTTAAATTTAGAGTGTTCTTCAAAATTAACCGAAGTCACAGCCACAGGGTCTATATAGTTAAAAAGATCTTTGATATATACTAAAAACAATAAAGTGCCCATAATGGAACCCTGCAAAAACTCTCTACTTTCTATTAGAAGGATAAAATGAAACTACACCTAGTGCAGTGAGTTCCAAACTTTAAAAATCTAGTTTTGCTGTTTTTGTTTGAGATACGACCACGTAACCAGTTCAAGTTCGAACCTCGCGATTATCAGGGTACCTCCTAATCGAATTAGCATTTAAGCCGGTGCACAATTTGCGTGTCACTCGGTAGCAGCTACTTTAAAATTGCACGTATTTGCCGTCGAGTCGTAAAATGATTTACCTGATTCCGCGGCCTTGCCTCAGCTAATCTGGGTTACCCTGCTCACCGCTAAATAATTAGTTCCGGCGTAGTCAATAAAACAAAGTTAATCCGAGAGCTTGGCGTTCTTTTTAACGACTTCCGACAACCATTTTTATTGCGGTCTAGACCAGATTACGAAATCGATATGGAGAAGGGTTATTAAGTATTTAAGATCAGTAAAAAGATAGTATTTCTGAGAAACCGTTCCTAGAAACAAGAGAATATATTTACTTAGGCGAGAGAATGAGATGGTGCAGCATATCGATCAGGGTGAGAAATCTCGAATCACAGAGGTTGATAAAATGCAGGGCTGAGTCCCGTTGTGTATTACTACACAGACTCCTAAACAAAAAGAAGACATTTTCTTTCCTGCAACAATGATTTAGCAAAATAAAATAACTTATCATAAGCATAATTTTTGATTAGGAAACAACTTTGTTTGGGCAGCTCAGAGATTTTTTAACGCGTATGGAAAAAAATACTAATCAGCAGGTACAAAAAACATAAACCATTATATCCACTAGACGTACAGATCCTTGTGGATAATTCGAATTTAATTGCACAATAATTTGTAACGCCATTACAGAAACAAACGAAAACTAAAAAAAAAAGAAACAGTCGTGAAAACTGGTGACCTTGATTATAAAACGAATTCTTTTTCAATTCTATTTTTTATTATGATCCGGTACTTGATGACTCTGACAAGCCTTTTAGACGCAGTAGCGCATCACGACATTAACATTACGGCTTGTATTTTAGATTTAAAATTGAAAGATCGCTCCTTCAACAATATTTTTTTATTTGCAGTAAAAAGAAAGTTAATATCGAAGAGGTGTAATACGGCTTTCAAAGAGTGAGGAAGGGTTGTGTAACCGTCAATGTTCAATGTATAAATAAATAAATAAATAAACTAATGAATAAATCCATACATTTTTAATAAAAATATATACCATTTTTTGTTATTTTTACAGTAGCAAAACATAGTGTCACCTCATCGTTAACGTCAATCCGCTATTGTAACTATAACTAATATAAACCTATATATTTGGGGTGGATGATATATTTCTAAGATTACGCTACGAAGTAAATGCCGGCTTGTTTATTTTAATTACTTTATTATTATTGTTACTTTATTATTTATAATTTTCTTAATAGAAAAGGGCATTTAGATAGAAATAATTAATACAAATTTTCAATCATTTGTTGAGCTTTTTAAATATAATTATTTTAAATGCAATTTGTCAAAATGGCTTACGGTGCGACTGAACTTCACACCATTTATACATAATCTACAAATAATTTTAAAATAATTATTAATTTTAAATTCCCATTTTATTAGTCTAATTTGTTTATTATTTAGAGACGCTTTAATGAATAGAAAGTGCGCAATGCTCCAACGAAATGTTAGAAATGCCTCATAATTCTACAATTTCACAGGCTCAAAGATTTGACAGATGTCGACCGATCTGTGTGATTTTTAATTGGAACTATTTAATAGAGATCGTGATCATTAGTGTACTATAAAGTCGTTACTTCTTAAATGTTAAGAATGGAAATAATAATAAATAATGGATAAATAGAACAAATTAATAAATTTGAAGTTATTAGTTGTTGTTAATCTGATTTTAAATAATGAAAGTGTTCTACTATTAAGCAATCCTATTATTTTTTGTAAAACTGCAACAGAGAGATAAAGAAAACATCTCTGTCCTATTTTATTAGATACCTTAGGTTTGATAGTGACTTGGTTGGTTCATTTTGTTTCTGGTTAACAAAGGATGTTCATAATTTCTAATAGGAATTTTAAAAATATTAAAAATTTCTGTTGTTGGATAACACCTATCCCTTAAACTCTAACCCTATACTATAACATTTCCAATCATGATACTTAAGAAGTGGTAATTGATTAGCATACTATTGATACATAGCCACGGATGTTAAATACCCTGTAATATTTAAAAAAAAAATGTTTAAAAACTGGTTTGTTTCGATCCCAAACTTTGACGGTTACTAACTAAACTCACCAACCAATATGGACGATGCTACGTCATCACTAATATAGCGTACAGGAGTATATTAAATCAGATGTCATTGTTATTCCATATAGCACTGCATTTACATGCAAGTGCTTGGTGTTTAAACTTCTTTTTCTACTCCTGTCTGTAAAATACCTAATTACACACGGATCCGAGCCACTTCGGACATTTCCGCGATTTTATCGCACGGGTTTGGGAACAATCGGATATTTTCCGATATAGTTTCCACGCCTTCAATTTTGACGTTTGTCAATTCAGTCTTCCATGTGAGTGAATGTATTCGTGTTGTTTTGCGGAAAAAGTATAGTATGCAACACGTTCGGTAAACTTTTTAAGTCACTCGTCCATTAAACACTCGCTCCGCGAGTCAAATTCCGTTTACCGTACTTGTTGCATAATATACTATTAACCATCTAAAAATCTTTGGGTTAGTTGCGGTGACCAATTTCATACCAGTCACCGCCACGTAAGACATTTGCATTTAAATGCAGTAAACGCGAGCTGTAACCAGCAAATCATTTGGCAAAACACGTAAACCGCCAAACGCGATTTTAAAATATCAAAATTGACAACGGGCAATCATAGACAATAGCAACCAGTTGAGTATACGATTAAAATGTCCGATCGTAAATTTTAAGAGTCTCTGGAGTCCGGATATCGCCTTTCAAAGGATAACCCGTTCGCTACGTCGCCGCGAATATGCTCGGCGATAAATTTCTATGAAAGGCAAGTTCAGCCGCAAGGTTACGCTTGTAATACGATACACACGGAGTATATTTTAACGTCATTGACTCAAGCGCCGTGTCTTTCCGTTTTAGGCTGCCGGCTTGTCTAATTCAATTTTTACCCGTTTAATTGTTTTAACGGCTAATAATTTAGGTTCATTAGCGGCAATGGGTTTCTGGTCACGTAACTGTTGTCCTCGTAAATATATCGTGATATATACTGTCGTCAGTAGGGTAATGGAGGATCAACGTCGAAGCCAATGCGTCAGTCATGAATCTTTTACAACGAAAAATAGTTGTTCATTATTTACTTAAACACGGATCGAAGTATTTGATGCTTTTATTTATACAATTACTATAAGCGAAAACAGGAGAAACTGAGCGATAAGTTCTTCCAACAAAGTTGCCATAAACCCCCTCGTTGATCTCATTTTCCTAGACACAGAATAATTAATCAGAGGACCAAGCACTTCTTTTACTTTACGGTAGTAAGCCCTTGATTTCCTCCTCTTATTTTATAAACTATTACGGATTTTGGTTTGCTATTTATATATCAAGTCAAGTACCGTACATTAGATGCAGATAATGATTTTTCTAAATCTGTGACGATTATACAACCCAATGTCTTCTTTCAAATAAAATCCGCAATTAAATAACCAAGGCCGATTTGTTTGTAATTAAATCACTACTGTCGCCGAAGCATCCAATTTACCGAATACTCAAGGCTCGTGACAAACATCCCGTATTTAGTTAAAGGGACTCGACGTCTCGGTCGAAAGAGTCGCGTAACGTTATTAGCACAGCTAAAGTATATATTTGCTAAAAAGGCTTACTTAACAAAATATGTTTCTATTTAGTTGCGTGCACAATACACGTTTTCCCTTTTTTTTTTCAGTGTTTTGGATATTTTTTTAATATTTAATTTGTATTGTTACATGTACCGTGCGTCCAATTTATCTTAACAATATTTTAATTGGCTGCAACTTTTTTAGTTTTAGAGATATCAAGGTAAAGAAAAAAAACAAAATACAGCGTTAGTAGGCAGGTTTTTCCAAGTGACGTATAAAATAAAACACTATCAATTTTCTGACATATAAGCCTACATAATATATTTTTTAAATGGAACACCCTGTATATCATATATTACAATGATGTAACACATTTTATATTTTAGTCCACTCGTTTTTGACAAATCGGCAAAAATAAGCAATTTTTTATATACTTCCAAAGAGTGACTGACAAACTAAAGTAAAAAATTCTTTAATTATTTTAAATACTGCTGTATGTGACCACCATTTTTCTGCATTTCTCATACACTCTAATTGTGTGATCTCTTGCATTTAGTAACGTTTCCGGTTTGGTATTTGGTACCCCCGGCTTTTTATTTCGTGTATTTGTCTAGGGTTATTTGAAGACACTTTCTTGTAGTGATCGAACTTTCATCAGTGCACAAAATGTTTTTCAAAAAATTATTATTCTCATTATCTATATTTAAAAATTCGAAATAAAACTGCACCCACCTTTGACATTGTTCTGTACTTAGTTTTTGAGTTTCACGAAATTTTAATGCATTATATTTATATTCTTTCAAAACTGAGTAGATCGAGCCTCGAGAAATACTTGTTTCCTCAAAGGCTTTAGTAATAGAGGAAACTGGAGGTGCTTCATATAATCCTAATTTGTTTGCCGTCTTGTCTTCATTTAAAATATGATTCCTGCATACCTTTTTAGCATTTAATACGTTACCGTTCTCTGCAAATTTCTTTGCAAGCGTTGGAAATGTCTGTTCTGAAGGAGCTCGGCGTTCTGGATAAAGTACTGACACATAGCTGCGGTTGCACTTCTATTATTCAGAAAGTATGCTTGAAGCATATCACTCCTTTCACGGATGCTAAATTCGCGAAAAACGCTTTTAACAATAATGACTTGTCAAACATAAACATATTTTTGTCAGTCAGGGAACTCTTGAAATTATATAAAAATTTCCTATTTTTGCGGATTTGTCAAAAAAGAGTGTACTAAAATATAAAGTGTGTTACATCATTGTAATTGCAATAAGATATTCTATTAAACACATATATAATATACAGGGTGTTCCGTTTAAAAAATATGATGTAGGCTTATATGTCAGAAAATTGATAGTGATATCATAAAAAATATTAACATCAAAGTTTAAGGTACGGGAAATTATTAACCCTAAAGTCAACACAAAAACACTATCAACAGATAAAGCACCTCTGGATGAACAAAATATTTGAAATTAGACGGAACACATTACTAATTATTCAATATTTTAATTTAGTGCCAACTCTAAGTTTAATTTAGACTGATTTTAATATCGGTTTTTTAATACAGAATGTCCTTTAATAAGTGCTTGCTTAGCAGATAAATGAATGTTGTTGTGATTTTGTTATTAGTAGGTAATAAAATCATTTCAACAGTTATTCTACACACAAATCTTCTGGATTGGCGTTGGCTTCTTCAGAGTTTATTGAGCGAGAGCGTCATTGGTTTAATTTATTTAAGCTCTGACGGAGCCAACAGGATGATTGCCGAAACGTCCGTAAGTTCGATTTATCAACCACCGACGCAGCATGTGGAAATTCTTTGAAACATTTCAACTGATGTCAAAATAAACGTTCGCTTTTGATAGATCATGACTAATAAGTTATCTTTTTCTTTTTCAGAAGGACCGAGCGCCTTTAGAAGCCTGTTCTCATTCTTTTAGCCAATTCTCATGCTGTTAATAAATGTTTCTGTACAAAGGGTGCAACGACTCGCGTGTAAATAGCGTACCTCCGGAAGAATGTAGCCATATTTTTGGCATATCAAACGTTACCATGTGTATACAGTTAGGTTAAGTATTTAATTTAATTGTAAGGATTGCAAAAATGTCGACGTGCGTGCAATACTGTTATTTATTATACCGTGTTTTTTTTTCAAATGTTTTTTTTTCACCCAATTCCTTAGCCATAGAGGTCGATTGCGTAAAATTCAGTCCGCCACGTCTGCTTCGTCGATTCGAATTGTCGCTTGTTGCTGTTCTTGGGATAAAATGGTTCAATTAAATTAATGACAAGGAATTAGCTATTAATTGGGCGGTTGTGGCATTAGAATCCGCAACGTTTAATAATAGACCAGAAAAAGCCCCACGTTCGTTTTAAGGTCTCGTTTGTTTGTTGAAAAGCACGACCTGTCTGACCAGCGGAAATTCATCGACACATTGTTATTACGCACGCATATTTATTTAGGTCATGAAATATCTACGTAATTGACTATTTATTGAGACAATACGCATTGAAAATTTTACTACTTGAGGAGCTAACCTTTGTTTACTGAAGTTCAGTTTTGGTTAGTTTTCTTGGTCTCAACAGCAGTTCAGCCTTTGAAGAACTGAAAATTATTAAATTTTGGACTTAATTTCCTTTTCCAGAGCTGTAATATTCGTCAAAATTTAACAGAAAAAACTGCGAAAACCAAAAACTCTGTCAGCACAGATCACTAAAATTTCATACATGCATTTTATAGCCCTTCGAAGGCAACATTATCGTGTTTTGTGATATTATCAGTTTTGCTTTGGACTTTATCCTAATTTTGGTATATTATTATTATTATTTTTTTGAGAGTGAATAATAATAAAATTTTTATTCGACTTTTAATATCTTGTGATTCACGAGTGCTTATGGGTAAAACTGTTAGTCAAAAATGTTGTGTTTGCCTGACTATGACTGATATAGAAACCAGGTATTTTGTATATCCAAGGGATCAAAAAAGGGACATTTAGTGCAATATTTATTTATTCAATTTTTCAAATAATGTAAATGTGAATAATTTTAACTAGGAATTTTTGAAGTATTCATATTTCCCTTAGAATTGCCGACAGGCTAGGAACTTGTAACAAAGAAGATTTATTGTACAAAATTTTTTGAAGAACATTTTGAAATACATATCTACAGGTGGGACACGCGAATGTTTGTTTGACCAAGCATTTTCCACAATTTCTCATGCAGAAGAAAAAAATGTAAATATTTTTGGCACCAAGTGATGTTCTATATACTATTTAATCAAATCTGCTGTTGCCCACTTTTTAATGAACCGGCCAATTGACCACTTCTTAATTGACTACTCAAATTCGATTATCATTATTATTAATAATATGTGCTTTTTAATAAATTATTATGCGTTTGTGATGTCCAATTTATCTACCCTCTTCAAGGAATACCCGAATACAATAAAATAAAAATAACCACTAAATTTGGTTCTCAGAACGAGGCGATGGCGATGTAACGCAAAATATAAATAAATATAAATACGTAAATACAAATTACATTGCATTTTTAAAATTGTTTCGGTCAATTGACCAGTCACACAAGAAAAAATTGACCTGTCATTTCCACAACCCTAATCATATACAAGTTGACATTTACCTTAGTCGTTTCTGTATTATTTAAGTCACTGTCATGATTATAGTATATAAATTAACAAGTATGGTACTTATATCATATACAATTATTATATACTACCATTCATTCGTAGTTAATTTTTTAACATGAAATATTACTTACTACCAGCTTTTCAGCACAACCTCATGGGGGTTATTTAAGAATTATTTATTCCATAAACACGCAAATATTTTTTCAATGTACAGCTTTAAATATAACTTTTCCTCACTTTGTGAAATTGATCCCTTCAGATCAAATGTGCCGAAGACTTGTTTCGCTGCTTTTCACGTATTCTGTGCTGTGTATTCTTCGTCTTAGCCAAAAAATTTGGCATTAGTGCCAAGGCGGTTCGCCCATTGTCACCTTCCGCCTGAGATTCGTAATTTATTTTGATAAATTGTTATTTTGATAAATGTACCAATTTAATTCCTAAAAATGAGAGTGGTTATTCCTAACTGAATTAGTACAAAAGAATGATACTAATAAATATTAATTATTAAGCCCGATATACAAATTGTAGTTGTACATAGGACCATAATTACAGTTCTACACTAGAAAGTTAATAATCAGATTAATACCATTTTTTTTATAGAAAAATATATATAGAGCGAGTGAGAAAAACTTTAAAAAATAAGCATAAAAAAATAGCATAGCCAATCCTTCTAATCTTGGTGTTTTAAACTTGGCGTGATAACGAATCGGGTACCACTTTGAAATTTTGAAACAATGGCGTAACGCAATACTTAATTTCGATCAGGATTCAGACAGTCACGTCTACTGTCACGGTCAGTTAAAAGTATAACCGCTTTACTATCTATAAACGATTTATTGCAATTTTGCACAACGCCGCAATTAAGCTGGGAAACTGAAAATTAGATAGCTCTCCTTTTCAACGTTTAATTACAGATCGCGGTCCGTCGACGTGAAAGGATTTGCAATTATTGTTGATACGGATGAAGACGAAAGGCTTTAAAATGGCCGCCGCCGGCCGCGTCATTAAGATACTTTGCGTATGTGCTATCTTTATGCAGCTGTAAATACGAATCCACTTTATCCTACGTTTGAAGTTTGATATATATGTTTTCTGCCTTGTGACGACACTCAAAAATACATATAGCTAATCATAATTATTATGTAATTATTAAACCTCTTTTTTTTTGTATAATATTTTAGGTTCTATTAGCATAAAAGAGAGAATACTAAAGAGCTTTTGTACTTTTTTTTACTGTTTTACTTCTACTGTTGAATTGGATGAAAATGAATATAGATAAAGTCCCAAATTTAGTCATAAAATGAGTTGATTATAATGGATGATTTCTTTTATTATTTGTTTCCCTTTATTCCCATTCGTTACAATCATCTTTGTTGTTTCTTTCCTCTTTGTCTTATGTTCGAAAATATAAGCATTTATTGACAAATTTATTATTAAAAACACTTTGCGTAAATTTTTGACTTGCTGCAACTACATTTTTATAGAACGTAGGTAGATAACTAAAATCATATCATACATTATTTTATAAAGCACAAATGACTATTTTATTTTTCGAATTGTTCATAGTTTTTCACGAGGCTTTTCACTAAAAACTATCTAAACTAACCGCAATCATTAAACAAGGCAATACGCTCGAATTACAAATTCTTATTTGTTTCTTAACGTCGGCCTTACCGTTCGCGATCAAGGAAGCAAAAAACTTCTTTTATGAATGTCCGATCCGATATTAGAGTTTCATAAATTATAAAAATGATCAATTAGCCGTTGCAAAAGGCGACAGATTGGAAACCATTATCATCTGTAATCGATATTGGCGAAACGTGAATAAAAAATTCACAGTGATTATTAAAATTTCGTACGTTTATAATAATACACGTTTTTTGTTGTATTTGGCGAGTTTCGACATTTTTCACGCGTGGTTTACACTCCGTTAGTTTTTCCGTAAAAAGTGTAATAGCAAACAAACCGTTTGCGAAATTAAAATCGAAAAACTCGCCAAACATTGGACCCGATTTATTTAGATTTCAAGAAAAAAATCAACTAGTTTGCGTATCGATAATAATTTCGTTTTGGACGTATCGATTTAACTTTGTTGGTCTATGGCACTTTAACAAAGTGTTATTTATGGGGTATTTCATAAATGAAGGTCAATATTAAGTTGGCAATTTTTGGGGTCAATTTTAATGATAATAATTAATGATATTGAGCCAAAACACTTCAAGTAATACTATTATTTATTTTAGACAAATATTATTCATATGTGCATTAATTTATTGGGTTGTTCGGAAAGTCATTTCGTTTTTTTTTTGGGGAACATGAAAGAGAGTTTTCGTATAATGAATAAATATTTTATTAAATTATATATTGGCCATTCTGGTCCAACACCTTTTGCCATCTTTCTGGCAGTAACATAATTTCCCTCTCATAAAAGTTTTGGTCCTGGCTGGCAAAAAACTGGTTCAGGTGGTTTTTGACATCTTCATTTGAGGTAAAGGTTTTGCCATCCAAAAAATTTTGCAGGGACCGGAACAAATAGTAGTCGGAAGGCGCCAGATCTGGAGAATATGGTGGATGTTGCAGTACGTCCCATTCAAGCTGTAAAAGTTTTTGGCGAGTGACCAAACTTGTGTGAGATCTCGCATTATCCTGGTGGAACAATACACCCTTCCTGTTGATTAATTCGGGCCTCTTCTCTTTAAGTGAATCATTCAATTTGTCCAGTTGATGACAATAGACTTCTGAATTAATCGTTGTATTGTCCCGCAAAAGCTCAAAAAAACGATTCCTTTGACATCCCACCAAACGGAGAGCATCACCTTTTTTTTGGTGAATGTTGGCTTTTGACACGCTTTGAGCCGGTTCATCTTTTCTGCTCCATGACCTCTTGCGTTTAACATTGTTGTATACATCCCATTTTTTGTCCCCAGTAATAATCCGCTTCAAAAATGGATCATTTTCTTGACGTTTGAGGAGCAAATCACACACGTCAACGCGACGAAACAAATTTCGCTCCGTAAGGACATGGGGCACCCACACATCGAGCTTCGAGGTTAAGCCCATGCCTTTCAAATGGCCATAAACAGTCGAATTCGACAAATTTAATCTCTCACCGATCTCTCGTGTGGTTATTCGCCGATTTGCATCAACTAATGCCTTTATCGCATCTTTGTCAGCTTCGACCGGCCTTCCAGACCGTGGTGCATCTTCGACATCAAAATTGCCGGATCGAAATTTTGCAAACCAGTTCTGGCACTGGCGTACTGTTAACACGCCTTCTCCATACACATCCGTCAATTTTTTTCTCGCTTGGACAGCATTTTTACCTTTTCTGAAGTAAAAAAGTAAAATATGACGAAAATGCTGCTTATTGCTCTCCATATTTAAAAGGGCATCAACCAAAAACTACTGCGTAGAATTAATAGAACTTTTTCACACACAAGCCTTGCAACATCAGCTCTCAAGACATATAATGGTTATGCGGCTTAAGTGTG